TTAGTGTTTTTCTTAAAAAAATTCTGTATTTACTTTTTTTATTTTCTTAATCCAAGGAAGCTGAAAATAATGTTTTCAGATAAAGGCATTACTCTGTGGAACAGTACTAGTGGGGATCTATTAGTTTAACAGGAATATAAAAGGTGAATTTTGATGACAGACTTATCAGATTTCAACATAGATAAGATGGTCACAGAAATTTTGCTTTTTTCATGCAAATTTCTTTTATTAAACTTTTTAGTTAACTTTATTTAAGTAGTTTCATAATCAGTCATAGATTCCTGGAAAATGTGGGTGCTTCTAATGCCGTGTAAAAGTTAAATATGGTCATCCCGTGTTACTCAATCACAAACACATGAATAAGCTTTTTGTTTAAAAATATTTATATGTAACTAAAACAGACCATTTACATTTTCCTATCTCCCAAAAACTTAATCTAAAACCTATGAAAAGTTCTGTTCTATCACCAGGTTAAACATATGATAGTTGTTACATGTATGTTCGTTCACATCACATTATCAGACAAAAGACTAGACTTTTGATAAATTTTGTATGTAATGAAACACTTTAAATCTAACCATTATTCCTCATGCCCCCAAAAAACACATTCTTACTTTCTACATTAAGCTATAGAAGCTAAGAAATTAGAAAGTACAAATAAAAGATTTATCCTTGATCAGTGATCAACATCAGACTTTTTTTCTTTTAATAATATTTGGTTAGAACTTGGTTCAATTAACTAATTAACTTTCCTGTATAATCAGCATATAGGTTCCATATATATTTATTTTATAGTTACTTACATTCATTCTCTGTTTATATATTCCTTTTTTAGTCCATACATACATAGTTTCTCTACACATGTAAATAAATATGAATATCCTGTATAGCACTTCAAAATAAAAGCAAACTACATTTTGTTGCATAGTACTTGTATTGACAATAAAGTTGAATTCTATTTGATTCTAATAAACCAAATAAATGATAATCTTTGCCCAAAAAACATGTCCATGTATGGTCGTTTGAGTTAACCTTTATTTTTTGACACATCAGAAAGATCCTGAGAGTAATGAGACAAAAAGTAGAGTGTTAACATAAAGGGGAATAAGGTAGAAGCAGGAAAAATAATTGCTGGTGCCTGCTACCATCGGTCAGTGAATGAGTTTGTGTTCTGAATAGATTTAGGGGTCAGGAATGGATTACTGTTTATTAATTCAAAGAATCATGCCCATAATGTAAAAAATACTGGCAAAAGTACACACATATGTCTAATACATTTTCAAATAAAAGCTTTTTTTTTTTACTACCCTAGTTTATCCTGCTTTGCAGAGAAGGAGATACTCTAACATGCATCTTCTCTTTTTAACGGCAGGACCAATGCAGGGTGCTGATAACATCTACCGTCGTGCTGTTTTCCGTTTGCTGTTCAGGTAGGTGGGGGTGGTTCAGGGGTGATGTGTTTGGCAGCAGGGGGTTAGAATCTCATGCTGGAGGAATATCAGTTTAGGTCACCATTGGGGATAACTTTTTTATCTTATATATATTTGACTGATTCTTTTTTTTTTGGTCAGGGCTATTGCTGACATGAAAATTGTTGAGCTGAATTCATGCCCAGCCCTCCTTTTGCTGAATATATGGGAGAGTGTCTCCCACCCTGGAGATAGCAGACCCCAGGTGAAGATAATCAGTTGGGAGATGTTCACTCACAGGGCAGCAATGAGCACTAACAGGGTGCCTGGGTGAAGACACTGCAGGAAAGGTTGTTCCAAAGAGAAAGAGCCGGTGAGCCACAAATTGTTTGAATATTTAAAATGTTATGAAAAGTTAAGAAAAGGAATTATTTAAAATGTATTTGAGAAAGTAAATGAATACTATAATGTAAAAAAAAAAAGATCACTCAATAATGCTTTGAATATGTTTGATTTTGTGTTTAAATGTTATATTTTGTTTCAGGAATAATTTTATTTAAAGGATGTTAATCATTGTTTCTCTGTGTTTTATTTTTAATGGTTTTTTCACCTACTACTACTATCAATGCTACTATCGTTGATTGAACTTTAAAATAAAGGAGAAAAAGGAAAGAATCAACTTTGGTAATATGATTCAAATCCTGTGAAATCTCTGGAAGCAAACTGCCTTTTCAAGGAGGGTAAACCTGCAGTTTAAATCCCAAACAAAAAAGTGTGAACCACTTGACAACAATGCTGATATCTAAATCACTTCTTACAAATCACATATGCATGCAAGACAAAGTTTAATATGCAATATTTATAACTGGTGAGGATTTATTGCTCCACGGTACTGCAATAATCCTAAAACACCATTGCATTGAGTATAAAAAAAACACAAAAAAACAAGAAAAGATCGCGGACCTCCGCCACGTAGATCCACATATTATAACTTCCACCTTTCAAAATAAAAAAATAGTTGGTGATCCAGATCAACACCACAATTTTATCATCTGTTGCCAGTCACAAGAAGTCTCAAAATTTTTTTTTTTCAGTTATTTAGAAAACAGTCAAATAGTCCTTCTTGGTGGAGGTAATGACACTGTTTTAAACCAAAGTGTATTTTCACTCCCTGCATATATTGCATTTTAACCAGCATATAAAATTCGGCCTAACCTCAACTCTCACATGATAGAACAACAGTAAGAGTGTACATTTATATTTTATTATTAAAGTTAATATTAAATCGTATTTGAACCGTTGTTTTGTGATAAAACTTTTGCTAGGTGTAATATTTTTGGCTAATGTAATACAATAAAATACAAATATTTTTATTAATTGCAGTAATTAAAAAGCAATCATACAGCATTGCAGTACCAGATTGTGCCGTTGTTACGCCATATTCTGTTCCCCATCATGTATTGTGACTTTAGGGGGTGCTGTTGCATATTCTCCTCACCAGTTTTCCATCTGCTAACTTCACAGTATTCATGCCCAATCCTATAGAAGCAAAAAATCTAAATCGAAAAAGTTATTTTTTCTTATAATAAGTGCATTTTTTCTTGAATCGAGGAGGTAAGTACTATTTATATAGCATCAATTCACAACACATCATCTCAAGGCACTTTACAGTTCTCCAGATCAGTCAAATTGATTAAAAGTTTTCTATCAAAAGAAAACCCGTTAAATAAATAGACTCATTGATTCGAAGGCAATCCCTGACACTAAGCATGCTTGTAGTGACAGTGGAGAGGAAAAACTCCCTTTTAACAGGAAGAAACCTCCAGCAGAACCAGGCTCAATGAGAGCGGCCATCTGCTGAGGCCGACTGGGGTTAAAGGAGACAGAAGCAGACATAAAAAATTTTTTCTGCCATTGGCAAAGTGACACACTTTGCCAATGGCAGAACACAAGTTAGATTTAAGATAAGAAATAAACAATAACATTGTCTTATTTAAAGTGAATATGAGCAAATATCTTATTTTAAGAATAAAAATACGCATTTCTCTGGCAAATCATCTTATTCATCTACACATAATAAGGGTAAATACAATTAATTTGAGATTTTTTTTTTTACATATTCCTAGATTAGTTTTGCAGTGTGATCGAATTTAAGGTGTTAATGGCTGATTTACACAAATTAAAAACTGTGAATTTGTTTGAAAGTATATGTTAGGGCATGAAAATAATAGGTCTAACGGTTCCTTCTATACTTAAAGGGCATTGTAATAAATCTTTTCCATTTTGAGTGAAAAAGAGAAATGGAGCTCAGGGACACGTTATGTTTACAGGTTTTAACATTCCTACAATACGCTTAAATATATATTGCAGGATTTTCACGGATTTTTAAAAAGTACCACTGTTTAAAAAAAAATACAGATGCACAACCCTGTTTGCATCACTCATACAATCTTACTTTCCAAAAGATTGGGGAATCCAATAGGGAAAAATTGGGGATGAGCACGTAGGACAGCCCTCAATAAACATATCAACAGAATGATTGACATTTAGGAGGCCCACTTATTTTGATGATCCATCTGGAAAAAGAACACCCTCCACTATACCTTTAAGAAAGGAAATCATACAAAAAATGTGAATGAATATTAGTGGTGCTATAAAAATATAAAATGTCAGTGCACTTAAAAACATTCTTTTTACTTTTGGATTAAAAAGTATATAATTAACTTATTCAGATTAAACAACTTTACCACTAACAATTATAGAGAGCCCAAAATAATAAAAAAAATGTCACATTTTATTAGAAAACTGACAAATTAAATCTTGTTTAATGTACTAAAGAAACAAATCTAGACAGTCTTGTTTTATTGGGTCATCAGGTTAATACTTTATTTTGTTTGATTGCAGCAAAGAGAGAGGAAAAGGAGACAGACAAGGGGAAGGGGACAAGAAGAATGTCAGAAAAAGGAGACTACAGACTTTGGGAGATTTGTGGCCACAAGCCTTTGTATCAAATCTAAAGACAAAGTCATCAGGCGACATTAAAACATCTTTTAAAAATAACATTAACATATTCTGTGGGCTCTATATGGCACAGTATTACCCTAGACATGTACACGATACTGAAACAGTTAAGCCACACTCCTACATCTATGAACAGCTTCATAGCGAACAAAGCCATGAACTTTATCTCCAAACCACATTGAGAAAACTCTCATTTTCCATTCAAATTTCTTATGCCATAACAAGGCACCTTAGCAGTTGAAATCTGGCAGATCCACATCTTACTATAGATAGTTTTTTTTTTAAATATCAAAGCAGAGGCACATTCATTTGAACTAAAACATACAGTAAATAGTTGTATATTACCACCAGATTTCCAGTCCAGTCACCACGATACGTCAATTTGCATGCTTTTGGTCTGTTTGATAACCATGATGGCAAACTATGGCATAAGAAATGGTCCAAAAACATAAAGGTGCCCATCTACAGGAATGGCTTGAGACAGTGTACTGGAGACAGCAAGGTTTTTTATTATTATTTTTGTTGGTTTTTTGTATGTTTTTGTTTTGTTATGTTTTTTGTTTTTTTTTGTGTATATTTTACAATGAAACTAACTCACAGAGGAGTCCAAAAGAAATATAATAACAACAAAATACAGAAACAGGTGGCTGATAAACTGCCAAGGGATTCGCTGCTTAGGCAGATTTATTTTGGTTTTCTTATTTGCACAGTCACACGCTCTCTCTCCAACTCATAAAAAAAGGCTCGAGCCACACTAGAGGGGATCTGTGATGCTCCCTTTTAGTCGGCCACATTGTGTTTTTTTAACACTTTTAGTCAGAACCGATAAATGCATAAGTGCACGCACACACACCAAAGTACACGTAGTTCATTCAGAGGAGGTGCAGCGAGCTAGAATGTGTGCAAAGACGGGGCGGGGCAATTAAAAAACTTCTAAAAGGGCTACTTTTCCATCTTTCAAAGTGTAGTGTAAAGTTTGACAGAGATATGGAAGAAGAACAAAGAAAATAAAAGCCTAAAAAAAATAAATAAAAAAGTTAAGAAAAGCTGTGCACACAAAGCCAATTTGTTGAGGATATAAAGAGTTCGGAAGCGAGTGTTGCTCATGCGGTGTGGATAACAAACCCAAAGTTTACTGACATGTTCCTAGGACTACTGTATATATGCATACCAGACGTTATACGGTTCTTTAACAGGTTACTTGTGTCAAAATAAAAAAGAAAAAAAAGGAACTGAAACCAACTCTACCATTAATGCAGCTGTACTTCATTAACCTCGTGACTAAATTTACATTCAAGACCCCCCCCTTCCATTTCTCCCTTCTTTCACTCAAACCGCTTCCATCTGGTAAGAGGGCTAAACAACAAAAACAACATATTTAACAAAACAAACATATAGATAATTTTACACGTAACAAAAAGGCCCCTGGAGGGCTTCAGGAGAGTTTTGACCCACCCCCTTGGCTGCTAAGCCCGTCCTTTTTGTACCCTAACAAATGACACAGGATCTAGATCAGACCTTTTCCCAATCTACCCTCCGACATTGAGGATTTGGTATTTAATTCCCCAGCATCATTTCTTGTTGATCCTTCTGATTCAGAGCCTAACTGCTTTGTGCCCATACACTTTTGTCTTCCTATAAAGAAATAAGAATGCATGAAATCCTTCCTTGTTGTGATGATTGGGCCTTTTCCTCTTTTGAAGCAAGAGGAAACAAACTACATAATACAAAGGCTGACTGGTCTTTATTCTTTCCTTTTTTAATACACAATTCAAAGAAATGAGATGAAAAAAAATGGAAGTGCAATGGTCTACCAGCCTTTATTTTTTTGTTTTCACCCAGTGGCCAGCTACATTTCCAAAGCAGCTACATATGTCTCCTTTAAGTGACCACTACGTGTCTATTTTGTGCACATAAAATATAAACTATTGCAAATGCTATACAGATCCTACAGTGCCAACTTGTCACAAAATCATCAGGTTTGTTGACATTTGGAAGGATAGTTCAGGATTTTAAAAAAGGTCATAAGTGGAAATCATCTTATGCAGCATACAACTCTCATTTGTCTTCATTTAGTACATATGCAGATTAATTGTTACCAGAGCCTGAAGCTATCGGCAAACCTATGGGGCTAAAGCTGACTTCTATTATGCAAAGAATACTGAATTCTGAGGATCGTCAAAGCGATGCTCATGAACAGCCCTTGATGAACATTTAGGTTGTCATCACATGTGCATTACTTTAGATGGTTGAAGACGAAGAAGTTGATCTTTATTCACACAGGAAATGTCGGTAGCAAGAAGTCCGCCAACAGTGATCTTCCTGTGAAACACATTCTAAGAGCAAAGCATGTAAAGCATTTGCTTTTAAAAGTAAATGTTTAAAATAAAGTAACCTAGTGTAAAAAGTAAAAAAAAAAAAAAAAAAGTACTTTCAGTGAACCCTTTTTGTCAAAAAATTATTTTAGGCGCCTTATGTTCAGATAAAATAAATAGATAATAACAAGCGAAAAGAAATGAACCCAATGCAAACATGAAAGCAGTAAAAAAAAAAAAAAAAAAAAAAAAAAGATTTTTACATAAAAACTGGAATTGGAGGTTTGAGAATTGCCAGATTGAAAGGTCAGAAAATTTCTGCGTTTTGACTGAAACTGAAACGTTTATTAGGACAGAAAAAAAATTTATTTGGTCATGGGCCCCCCACAATCAACTGTTTTAGCTTCAGCTTCAATATTTCAACTAATCTAAATTTATATGAATGAAGATACTTAGAGATGTCTACTGCAGGTAAGATATTAACAGCTTATAACCTTTAAAGAGAACCCTGTTTCAAAAATCCCAAACTGTCCCTTTAAGAAGGTCAGACAAACTCTTACTTTCATCCATTCCCACCCAACCATTCTTTTGACTTTCAAACGATTTGGATATGAGGAATCTTTTCTAAAAGCACTTCTACACACTGACCTACAGTAGCTATCCTAACAAGAGTAGGAATGCTGTGAGATTCTCACATGGAATGGTCTAGATTCAATAATCCACAAGTACTCCGAAATGCACGCACACTCATACCTGCTTCATCCAAACACTGCATGCACAAACTGTCCTATGTATATACGCGTGTACATGCTTGGGTACAGCTTTCATGGACAGTATGACAGCAGGATAACCCTGCATTTCCCGCTCCCTCGTACAAAAATACGCAGAGCCTCTTAGTGCTCCGGCTGTTTTGAGTCTCATGCCCTATCCGGACCCATACAATGCCTTCCCTGAAGATCCTCGTATAGTGGCGACTATAAAGGGAAGAAAACTGGACTAATTCTCCAAGCAACAAACACCCTGTTAGCAGTTTGTATTTCTATAATATAGATATAATAAGAGTCATAGCGGAAAATGAATCAAGCTCCAGAACGTCACACCCTACAAGAGAACAGGAGATGTAGAGTAGCAACAATAAAATAGATGGAGGGGTGACACATCACCTTAAATTTGGCCTACCCACCCTGTTTTTTAACTCCGTCTCCTGCCCTCTACACATAGTTTTGTGATGCTTAACTCTGCTCTTTGTAGAATAAAGTGTGCCAGTCAGCATGGTCCCCCTTCCCTTCACAGCTAAAAACCAAAAGGTTGTCCTCTCTGAGCTGTACACCTTATAGTGCATTTGTATCTTATTGTTTACTGCCGCTTCCATCTCTCTGCTTTTTTCCACTGCCGCTGCTTCTGTAGAGGCCAGGATTTGCAACGAGCGGGTGAGGTGCTGCACCCATGTACGGTCCAGCAGTGGCTGCGTAGTTGAAGATGGTGGGGAGGAAGGGTAGAGGCTCCACCTTATCCCCACCTGGAGCCATCATATTCAGAGTCACTGGAAGTGCTGCCAAGTTATAGGGGTAGGCTAATAGCTGGGGCCCGTAGAGCAGCTGGTAAGGGTCCGGATAAAAGGGCAGCTTGCCCAGGTCACCTCGATCAGGAACTATGACTTTCCCCAGAGGGCCAAAGGGCAAAGCTCCAGGTGGATAAGTGGACATGAGCAGGTTGTCTTCCTGCTTCTTAACAGATCTGTAGCTGTCAGGCACAATGAGGGGAAGGGGATAATCCTGGGCGGGGTAGTCAGCTGGGGTGGTGTCTCCCTGCTGTGAATCTCTGGCAAAAAAAGTGTCCTGATGATCTGGCTCAGGCTGCTGGGAGGCTCGGGGAAGAAGCAACGCATGTGCAGAAGGACGGTCAGTTGCTCCTGTGGGCAGGGTCAGCCTGTCGAGTGCTTGCGAACTGGGATGAACCTGCCGGCTGGCCTGAGCCATCAGTCCAGTAGTTGAAGGGGGCCGGCAAGGCGACTTGGGAGTTTGCCTGCGTGAACAGGCTCCATTTATAGTGGTTGGGGTAGACATATGTTGGGGTGATGCTACAGGGCTCAGAGGCTCCTCTTTAGGGACAATGAGAGAAGTTTGCTCCTGTGAAGGATGAGCAACTCTACTGATTCTCTCTTGCTCAATCTCCATGTTTCTCTTTTGTTCCCTCTGTCTCTCTAGCTCTTCTTCTGCCACCCTTTGCCTTTCAATCTCCCTCTCCCGAGCTAAAATAGAGGACATGGTCAGGTCTTGTGCTTCATTGGGCGAGGGACTCCGGGACAGGGAGTGGACTCTAAGATTTTGGAGCTGCGGTGGTTCTTTGTAACCTGTGTGTAAAATTGTACCGCTCACACTCTGCCTCTCTCTGTCAATAATGACCCCATCCCGTCTGGTGAATCCCCCCTCTGAGTTGGCAGCTGTTGTCATGGAAACAGGAGGAGCAGGAGTGGTTATTCTGGTCTGTGATGTCATAGGCACATTTGGGGAGGTGTTGGGAGATGTCACAAAGTGCAAAGGGCTGGCTATTCTGTGGATCTGACCATCTAGGCTCTTTTTAATTGCCGTGCGGTAGTCAAGACAGTCTGGTCCGTTCATGACAAGCACACTCTGGAGAGAGGAGGGTGCAGGAGGTGGGACATCAGGTTTTATGGGTGTGAGGTTAATTTGACTTTCTAATGGAGGATCTTCAGTTTGTTGTACTGGAGCTATCTCTGGAGAAATAAGTGCAGGTTGTGTCAGTTCAGGATCTTCACTGGTTTCTGGTTTCAGGAATTTGTCTTTAGGTTCACTCAGATGTTCATCATGCTGCTGTGATGTCAAACAGTCGCCATTACTCGGCAGCTCTGCTGGAGAATAGTTGATAACTGAAACAGAAAGAGAATTGGGAGTTTGTCCTTTATCGGTACCAGGATCTGTGCAAAGAGGTTCAGCAATTGCTTTAGAGGGGGTTGCCTCTAAATTGTTATCTTCTTTTTCTCTTTCAGGAGAACTACTTAAGTCATGACGTCTCATATGGCGACTTAGTGCCGATGATGTCTTGCACACTTTATGGCACTGTGGACAGGTATGTCTTGATAAGGCTCTTCTGCTCAAACGACTCGGACTAAAACTACTACCCCCAAGTCCAAGCTGTCCCTCTTTATCTTCACCAAACTTTGAGAGCTCAGGCACAGATTTAATACCAATGCCTGTCACTTGTTCACCACATTTTGTGGCCACAGAGGGAGCCTCAGTGGGCTTAGGATGTTGGGCTTTCTGGTGGTCTTCCAATTTTTCCCTTGAGGGGAAAGTGGCCCGACAGAAGAGGCATACAAACTCAAGCAGATGGCTCAGCTCGTGTTTGTCTCGCTTCCTGGGGCTTGAGAACCAGCGGCCACATGTGCCACACTCTGCTGCATTCCCATTAGTCCAAGGCCTCCTCTTTATTCCTGTGGGAGCCACTGAGGTAGACAGAGGGGGCTTTGGAGCAGGGATAGGGGGGGTTGAAACCTTGTGACAGGCCTCTTGAACCTGTTCCTCTACATCCTGTTTTTTCTCCTTTAAAGAGGAAGAAAGATTACATTTCTTTATTTCCTCTTCACTTTCCTTGTTAAGTTTGGACAGTTTCTCAGCCTCCTCAGTGGTCCTGTCCTCTCCCTCATCTTGTGATTTCTCCGTTTGTTTATTCAGAAGTCTCTTCAGCCTCTCTGCTCTCCTCTTGAGTCGAATGGAGCGCTTGTACTTGAGTTTCCTTTGCCAGTTCTTTACTCTCTGTAGATGTGCTTGGGCCTTCTTCTTAGGCTTGTAAGAGTAGTAAGGTCGCCATAAATTATCCTCTATATCATTGTCACTGTCCTGCTCCCGCACCCCCTTACGGAAGAAGTACTCCCTCACCTGATCAGGGGATTTGGGCCTTTTATTTCTGACTTCCTGCTCCTCCATCTCCTCCTGGTCCTCCTCATCGTCTCCTGCTTTCTCTCTCCTGTCTCCTTCCAGGCTGGCTCTACTCAATGAGTGGTGTTTATGGTGATGGTGGTGTGAGTGGGTTTGGCGTGGCTCCTTGACAGATGACGTTTCACTTCGTTTGATTTTTGGAGGAGAAAGGCTTTTATCTCTTTTAAGATCAGTTTCAGAGATGCTGCGCTTCACTATGGCCTCCTCACCAATGCGTACAGTTATCTGGCATAATGGCCCTGATTCTTTGGCCTGTGAGCCTCCAGATGCTGATATCACCTTTGAGATTGCACCCTTATTGTGTGATTTGCGAGATTTGTGAAATGCCTTGCCTGTCTCAGTGTCTAGTCTGCTTTTTGAGCCCTGATCAAATGCATCTGAACTGTCTCTTGACCTTTTTCTATGATTATCTGTATTATCTTTTTGCTTTTTGTTTTTTTTGGGACTTCCCTTGCCTAAAATCTGGCTGCTACTTGTTTCAGGGGATGGGCTGGTCACAGGGCTCTTCTCACTTCCAGAAGTAACCTGATTGCTATGCACAATGACTGAGGATGACACAGCTGCTCCATGAACTATGACAGACGGTTTAGTATGTCCATATGTTATAACAGAGGGCATGCTTGTTTCTGTGCCTCTATCAACTTTAAAGGTTTTGAGCTTGTTGCTATTTGACACTTTGAAACTACCTCTCTCCTGCTCTAACTCTAGAGACTCACTTTTATGTGTTCTAACTTGGGGCTCAAGTGCAAGCTCAGATACATCTGTGTGCCCAGCAGCAAGAGAAATTGGAAAGCCATCAGGGAAAGCATCTGGATCAGGCTTCAAACTCTGAGGGGGGGCTCCTGCAATGATGCTCTGCAGGTCCCCTGGGCCCAAAGCACAGCCAAGGCCAGGCAGGGAGAGGGAGGGGGTGTCAGCTGGTGGAAGTAGGAGGCCATTATGTAAGCTGTCACTATAGGTCTTGTAAGGTCTTTTCTGGGAGCGCATGGGGAGAAGGCGGTAGAGCTTGAGGGCATTTGCTCTCTGCTTATAACCCCCATTTGCGGTCTTTTCACTGGATATAAGGCTTGGATTAATCCCATGAATGGTCTTCTGGTGTGTCTTGAGATTGTAGTAGGTGGCAAAGGCATCCCAGCAGAAGATGCACTGGTATCTGCGCTCTCCTGTGTGCCACACCTCATGTTTTGTGCGATACTCCGCCAGGGCAAAGACCTTGTCGCAGTAGTGGCAAGGATATTTGCGCCGCCATGAGTGCACATTAGAATGACGCTTCAGGCTGGATAGGGTCATATAGGAACGCTCGCACACAGAGCAGAAGTAGATCACGTTGCCGTCCACAACCTTCACAAAATGGTTCTCATCTCCCGCCAGCAGCTCTGAGGCTGCTGCATCACCAGCTTGGATACGGGCCAGGAGGTTCCGCACTTTCTTCCCAGGCCGCCCTTTGCTGATGTCTGTCTGTCCCACTATCACTCCCCCTTCCACCCTTACCTCACCTTCCTCCAACGGCTCCTCTTTTGGCTGTACGGTAAGGGAGGGAGGACCCAGGCCTGGCATCCTGCAGGACGCCTCGTGGGATTGCAGTCTCTTGCTGTGGATGAAAGCTTTGCCACAGTAGCGACAGCTGAGGGCGCGGCTGCCACGATGCAGCCGCATGTGGACCGTGAGGGAGGACGCTGAGCTGAAAAGCCGATGGCACACGCCACAAATCAGCTCTGGCTTCATGCTGTCCGAAGGGGGGTAGGAGGATGAGTGAGGGGGTGCGGTTAGACCCTCAGAAGGCGGGGGAGGTGGTGGAGGTAAGGGTGGAGGAAGGTGAAGGGTGGGTGGGTGAAGACTTGGTCTGTGAGGGCTCCCTGTTTTTCCAGCTGTCCTTCCTGTAAGTTTCTCTCTCCTGTCTGCATCCACACCCCTCTGATAGGCTGACGTGCCAAGACTGAAGAGAATCTGAGCAGTCTGAGAGGGTGAAGCTGTTCCATTTGTCATTCTGTGCCTTTCATCCCACCCGTCTCCACTAAAACAGCCTCCTAAAGTCCCACTGGAAGCTCTTGGAGGTGACTTGTGAATCTGACTCTCTGGACTGAGTTTGGAGCACTTCAGAGGAGGTGGAGATTTAAGATCCTTTCTGATAAATGGAGCCATTGAAGAGGAGGAAGAGGAGGGAGAGGAGGACGGAGAGCTGTCATGTCTTGCCGGCTTAAAAGGTCTGTGTTTTACATCCATGGTGGCGTCCAGTTTCCACAGCGACCCTCTGTCTGAGCTCTTGGATGATAGACGCCGCCGTTGGGGGGAAGGGGAGGATGAGGAAGAGCTCTGACATCGGTCTGGTGAGGTCATTGACGAAGGGAGTGGGGCGGCACCAAGTGGGAAGCTTAGGGTGATTTTTGCGTTTTTAGGTCCATCATCCATATCCTCCAGCTTGTCATCCAGTGTTGTCTCTATACGATATCCAAGTCTTTTTCCCTTCATGTTTAACTGCTCGGTGTTCTCTTCCTCCTCCTCCTCAGATTGAGAGACCACACCAAGACTGTGGGCAGGTTTATTTAGTGGATCAGTCCTATTCACTGCGTACAAACTGACAGGCGGTTGTTGAACTGGGTGATGGCCACTGAGGGTCACCAACGATGGAGGTGGGGAAGACAAAGGTGACAGCTGCCGACTTTGGTGGAGTGCAGTATCCTTAGCAGCAGTGGATGAGTGGCAGACGGGAGTAAGGCAAGGATCCAGGCGTTGTTCTCTCAGATGTGGCTGAGTAAGACCCGCATGGGGGGGATCCCATACCTTCGCACTGGACACCATGACCAGTCCAAGAAATCTAGAAGAAAAACCAAAGAAAAAATAGCATTAAAAAAATGAACTATCGGGACATCTGCATTAGCAAGAATTAAAACTTTAAGACAAAACATGCATAGAAACAGCTACGTTTTTGCATATTTAAATAACCATTAGAGCTTCCCAGCATATCACAATGTCAGTGTCCACAATAAAAAAAATATCTCATAGGACTGAAATGTAATAATCGCAATTCTAGCTCTATGAGCTCAAATCTTAAATGCCGAAATAATACTCAGCCTGTTCACTGTAGTAGACACCCACACATCACAAAGATTACAGTGGCCAAGATGCTAAAGGTCACAGGAGGCTTTGAAAATACAGATGAGAAAGAGAGAAGGTAAGAAAGTAGGGATTTATCACAACTAGAATTGTTAGCCTATTTTTACCAACAATTTGTGGAAACTCAATATTTTTCATACTTAAATATTCCCATTTCCTTATTTTGTCAAAATTGAGAAAATCATCAAATCTAATTTCCCCCATTTTTTAATCCATAATTTTTGAATAGGCCCAACTAATTCTTTTACACAAGCAGTCCTGAACCTGGTGAAGCTTTTTAGGAGAAGGCAAACAAAATAGTCCATGAATTTTGAGTTTCGACTGCTCAGGCATGATGGTTGAGTCCAAAGAAGCAGAGGGTAGGGGGAAGGACTGAATGTGCAGCAGTGCTGGTTTAGATTTCAGCATGCTAAAGCCAAGCTTTCAGAAACACATTCCAGAAATCCATCTTTCTCAGGCTGTGACACAACATTCCCTTCGCCTAATTGTAAGAAGGGTAGATTTAATCATGATTTCCCCAGAATAGTATGGTAACTTAGATCTGGGACATTAGCAATCATTAAAAATAGCTCCGCTCCCTGTTTGTTGAGGCACGTGTCTTCTTAGCAGTGGCTTAAATGTGCAAGGCATGATGCTAAACATTTATTTGTGAAGGTGGAGAAAAGGACAGAGGGAAAGAGGCAAAGGAGGCACAGTGGCTTGTGTGATCTAAATGCTCACCAGACTGCTATTATCTCTTTTCTTATCCAAACTCCATCTTAGTGAAACAGCTTTGCTACAATTTCCCAAAAGAAGCTGCACACACACATAAGACATGTCAGTCTTCTATTGTTGTTTGAAGAGGGTGCATGCTTTCGGGTGAGCGGATCACAGAGTAAACAGACAATATAAGGCCCATAATGATGCGACTAGAATAAAAATCCACAGTCATGCTTTTCTGCCTTCATTTTGAAGCAGCCAATCTGCCAGGAAGGCAGGCTGCTGTAAAATTCCACAGGCAGAAACTAGGTCAGCCCTGTTATTGCAGAGCAGAGAGCTGTGGGGAGAGACAGGCTGAGGATGAAGGAGAGTGCAATGGTGACAGAGAGAGAAGGAGTGTGAGGGTAAGAGAGGGAACAGACCGGAGGAAATGAAGCAGGAACAGCCGGACTCAGCGCGCACCATCAGACAGACTGGAGCCCGTGTAAACACTGACGTGAGCTGCACAAACATGCTTTGAACATACACTCTTGCATAGCGACTTTCCTAAAGTTCTCATATGCGTTGAACTTTTTCACATTTCCTAACATTAAAGCAACAGGTATATGTCATGTTGTGATCTCGAGCGACAGACCAATGCACAGCAGAGCATCATTATGAAATGAAGAGAAAATGCAAATGAAAATCCTGCCATTCTTCTGTTAAATCTGAAAATAAGGGGTTAACTTTCACACAACCCACTGACTTTGTAAACCCACTTTTTGCTGCTATGGAAGCTGCAAGTATTTGGAGGTGTGTCTCGACCAGCCGTGCAAAATGAGTCCCTGAAAACGTTTCCCTTTCCTCTTTGCAAAGCAGCTTACGCTCGGTCAGGTTTGATGAGGACAAGGGCAGAGTTATTATTTGCCAAAACTATCTGTTTGCCTATAGCGCCTCCCCACCCTTCACCTTCCTACAACAGGAAAACCTTATGGGTCATTTTGAAGTAAGCTTAGGATTTTCTTTGTTTTTGTGAGAGAGGATGGTAAATCCAACATGTAGTTGTCTTTTTTTTTTTTTTTCCCAGGGGGTTGGGGTGGGGGGTCTAAAATTGGTGGATTTGGACCCCCTTATTGCAATGTTTGCTGAGGTCAATATACCAAAATAAGATTTTAGGGTCAGAAGGGAGAAAATACAAAGAGTACAAGAAAAAAAGGTCAAACAACGACATGGAGAGGACGACAACAAGAAAAAGGGACATGAAGGGAAGGGAACAAGTAAAAAGACCGGTATAAAGTATATATATGTATAAAGGGAGAAAAATTAAGTGGAAAAATGTGGAATAGGAAGAGAGGGACAAAATGTTCATCAAATAATGCATGTGCATTCTGTTGGTTTGTCTGTATCTATGTAATTCAATTATTCTTTTGTGTGTTGTCTTCTTATTTCAGAGGGCCCAATGCCTGCCTTCGCCTTGGGCCCAAAATTTCTTCAGAACGCCACTGGATGGAAGGGCTCTATGAATGGCTGCTTTTAAATTTGTATATTCTTAATTGGATTTAGCTTTGGACTTTCTTGCAGGTGAAGATGCTTTGATGTCAATGTTTCCATTGTTGTTTGGGATGAAGACCATGCTGGAAGGTTAACCTTTACAGCTATCTAAAGAATTTTCAGCTTCCAACATGTTTTCTCGTCCAGTATTGCCTTTTATTTATTTGCAAATGCTCATCAATTTTCCTGTTCCAACTAAAAAAAAAAAAAAAATTCCCAAAGCATGATGCTGCCATTACCACGTTTCCCTCTGCTTCTGCAAATCATACAATGTATCAAATAGGCAAAATACTCAATAATGTTTCTGTCTGACCACATTACCTACTTTTACGTGCCTGTTGTGTGCTACATCTTGAAAAAGTCCTAGTGTCAAGATGCTGATTATGTTCTAGAACAGAGGTCTTCAAAAGCGGGTCCGCGACCCCTTGGGGGTCAAAGGAGGTACTGCATGGGGGTTGCAAAAGTTTTGGTTGATTAGACTTTTTTAATATTTCCCCCTGCAATTTCCACTAGTTGAAATGTCTTTAAATACACATTAACATGAATTCAACACACTGTAGTAAACAGATAAATGGAGGCAGAAGATGTCTTTCAATCATCAATGCACATATTCAGCGATACACAGGAGCTCTTTCAAGCTGGACACCGTTTCATTCACAACACCTGTCCCATCAACCAGGAATCAGAATCAGAAATACTTTAATAATCCCAGGGAGAAATTACTTTCGTTACATGACTCCATCTGTAATAGAGGGACTATAGGACCAGTTTGATATAACACAATTTCACACAATATATATAAGTAGGGGGTCCCCGCTCCATCTTGACATCAGTTTGGGGGTGCTTGGCCTGGAAAACGTTGAAGACCCCTGTTCTAGCAAAGTGATGCGGATAGGGTTTTCATATTTATGGAAAACAATTAGATAATTATTATCAAAGTGTTGAATAATAAGACCAGAACTGCCATTTTCTCAATACTGTGAAGTCCACTTTTTTGCCGTTGTACCGTTTGCTATCAAATCTTTAGATCATGGATTGATTCACTTGAAACTTTTCCATCAGTACGCAGTGTTCTTCAGTCTGTTTGTTTGTTTAGCATTAAATCTCTATTTAAAATCTAAATTTTACAGAAATGTTGCTATTATATTTTAATGTCATTCCCAACTGGCAAACAATATTTACCATTAAATTATTTCGGAACATATTTGGTTGCATAGATCAGAAAACAAATGCACACAACAATTTTTGGGTTCTTCTATGAAATTTTAAAAGACATATCTAAACTTCTTTCCACCTCATCATTTATGCCTTTCCTAATTAAACAACAGGCTCTTTTGCAAAATGATATTCAAAGCCCAGAGGTGAATCCAAGTGCAGCTCGAGCTGCTACTGGTGGGCACTGAAACGATGTCAACAGGGACAAAGAAAAACAAAAGCATCTTTTGATATAATAAAGTAAATAAACCAGTTCATGTCTATTCAAGATCCGAGCCGAAAATAGAACAGACGGCCAATCCTGTTTGTTCAGGCCTTCTGCCACATTTTGCTGCTCCGTTTTGATACAGGCCTTTATTGTCACTCGCATTTGCTGTGCAATAGATGTCATGCAGGAAATCCCTTATGGCAAGTGCCAGCTTGCTACAAGTAGGCGGACACACTGCGAGACAGAGCTGATGCTAAAAATTTCACCATCTCATCTGATGCATGTTCCATGGACAGGAAAATGCGCACAACGCCCCCCTTTTATTCCCCTTTATCTTCTTGTGACGCACATAGCCCGGTAGAGGCAGAGGCTGCACGACACGCCGTCTCGCTCAGAGATGGAGCTTTGAGATCATGCGCGTATGCATAGAATTGTGTGGCAAACTATTTTTGAAAACTGCCTCATCTGTGAAAACAGGCAGGCACAGGCATCGGGGTGCATCCATCCGCTTATCCGCCTCACGGACAAAGCATAAATGCAACTATGAGAACTGAGAGGCAATCGACAAAAAAGAAACCAAAAAAACAACTACCCTGGCTCCAAACCTCAAATGCAGAAGGATGTTCTGCAAAAAAACCCCCAAAACATTGGTCTGTTGGTCTATGTAGAGTGCATCAATTTAGGCTTGTGGTAATGCAGAACCGCAGAGTAGCTGCTAAGATTATGCAGGACAAATTAAAACCAAGACTCCTTGCACCGTACAAAACACATTCTGTTCATTATGACAGAGACCTAAAACTAACAGCTAGACAGCCTCACTTTTAGGATGATTTTAATTTTTTATTTTTTTGTCAAACAAATGAACTAACATTTAACCGAATGACAAAATGAATTTTTAACATAAAAAAAAAAAACAACTGTTTATTTATATATAACAAATCCTGCTTTAATTTGGGGGTTAATTCAAAACAAACAGCTTATAACTCTACTGGAGGAAACTATCATTTAGACAGCCTGTCACCAGGAGCGCCATCTCTGAGCTTGCATAA